GCGACTTATAAACCAACGATTAAACGGTTTACTGGAATATTCAGAAGCACAAAGACACGGCGAAAGGAATGGTTCGACTCCAGTCCTGCCTGCACAGTTCAAAATTCCTTCAAATATCATCTCAGGGTTGAAACATGTTTACGAAGATAGAAGGTACTGGCAATGAGTAACGATTAAAACGCTAATTTCAAAACAGTAGTGAGTTCCATCCCTATTGGGTGCTCTGAAATTATAACCTTGTGCCAGTTTATACTATTTATAATAAATATTGGATTAGCGGTGAGAGTAAAGGTTATAGGCGCGAAATTTCTAGAGCACATAATGAGGAAAGAGTGTTGGGAAAATCTGACACTCACAGGGCAGATTGAAGACAAAGAGAACAGAGGCATGCAACGCATAACCTACTTAGTGAGCTTGAGTAAATGGATGACAGAACAGGGTTTAGGAGAAATAACAAAGTATATTACGAGCTACAAAGGACAGGAGATTGTGGAGAGCCATGATCAACAACGCCCTGAAGACACACAGAATATTAAAAAAGAAGAATGAGCTTGAGCAAATAGATGGCCAAAAAAGGTTTAGAAGAGATAACAAAAGAAAAAAAATTATTAAAAGCTACAAAGGACAGGAAATTGTGGAGAGCCATGATCTCCTGCGTCCTGGGGAGATACAGCACATAAAATAAGAAGAATAAGCTGGAGTAAATGGATGACGGAACAAGGTTTAAGAGAGATATGAAAAAAGACAATTTATTAAGAGCAACAAAGGACAGGAAGTTGTGGAGAGCCACGATCTCCTACGTCCTGAGGGGCTACGGCACATAAAGTAATAAACTTGAGTAAATAGATGGCCAAAAATGTTTAGAAGAGATAACAAAAAGACAACATTTATTATGAACTACAAAAGACAGGAAATTGTGGAGAGCCATGATCTCCTAAGTCCTGAGAGGATGCAACACATAAAATAATGAGCTTGAGTAAATAAATGGCCAAAAATAGTTTAGAAGAGATAACAAAAAAAAGCAAAATTTATTAAGAACTACAAAGGACAGGAAATTGTGGAGAGCCACGATCTCCTACGTCCTGAGGAGACACGTCAAATCAAAGAAGAATAATCTGTGACCGGTCAGCCGTGTTCGAATTCAGATTTAGCACAAATACCCTTGGAAAAAGAATAACTCTATCATTTCTCTTCCCTGGTATTGGTTAAATAGTAACGTAGACTGAGACCTCTAGCCTAGATTGGCAACCCCGCGAGTCGAAGGAAAATTCTGAATTCCAAAACATGAAGAAGGTAACGTAAAACCACCCCATTACCGTTCCCAGGAAAACACGGTAACCCACAGTTATTAGCGAGAAAGGAATCTATGGTGAGCCATGATCGCCTACGTCCTAAATGATCATAGAACTTAAAAAGAAAATAAGAAAATCTTACAATAGCTTTCAAAACGGACATTTTAAAATTATATATTTACTTTAAGGTTTACAATGAATTTAAAAAATAGAAAAATCGTTTTTGAAGCTTTTATTTTAGTTTTAATTTCAAGCTAACAGATTAAATTTAATATTTCCAAAAAGCAACCGCCCTGGGTATGACGATAAACTGCATCCGCGTCCTGGGTAAGACGAGGGACTACGTCCGGCAGCGGGGTTTCTGGTCAGGAGGTTTTGAGGAGTGTGGAGTCGCCTCTTGATTGCTGGTGTTCCCGGGTCCAGCCTAGCTCGGGGTGGTGTCGCCTGTTGGGTCCCAGATATGAGCAAATGGTTAACCCCTAAACACAGATCTCATCCTGGGTATGACAATAAACTACATCCGCATCCTGGGTATGACAATAAACTACATACGCATCCCGGGTATGACGATAAACTACATCCGCGTCCTGGGTGAGACGATAAACTACATCCGCGTCCTGGGTATGACGATAAACTACATCCGCGTCCTGGGTAAGACGATAAACTACATCCGCGTCCTGGATATGACGATAAACTACATCCGCATCCTGGGTAAGACGATAAACTACATCCGCATCTTGGGTAAGACGATAAACTACATCCGCGTCCTGGGTAAGACGATAAACTACATCCGCATCCTGGGTAAGACGATAAACTACATCTGCGTCCTGGGTAAGACGATAAACTACATCCGCGTCCTGGGTAAGACGATAAACTACATCCAACAGCAAGGCCTCTGATAATACGCTTTTGAAAAAATAATATTGCCAGTTGTACGTTTTTGAAAAAAAAAATATTACCAGCTATACGTTTTTGAAAAAATAATATTACCATCTATACTTTTTTGAAAAAATATTACCAACTATACGTTCACGTTCTTGAAAAAATAATATTACCAGCTATACATTTTTGAGAAAAAGTATTAACAGCAATGGATTTTTGACAAAAAAATCTTAGCAGAAAAAAAAGTTGTCGACATTAAATGACCCATTGAGGTTGATATGCCGTAAAACAAAACAAAGCAAACCAAACCATTAAGCAAAATACTTTGCTGCATTTCAAAATGAATTTAAATAGATTGGAATGAGTTTTTTTTTAATCGCTAAAAATTGCTGGTTTGGGCCATTTTATGCCATCTGTCTGCACAATATAATTCGCAAAAAATAAATATATCTGAACATTTATTTGAGAAATAAGGGCTGATTTGATTTTTAATTAATCTGATTTAAATCAAATGTTACTTACCGTTAGTTTAAAATATCACAGAAATGCTTTTTTAACACAGAAGTAAATGTTTTGATTAGGTGCTGACAAATTTATTGACAGCCGGAAAAAAAATTTCTGTGATAATTTAAACAAAAAGTTAGTTATATTTGTTATAATTCAGATTAATTAAATTTTAAATCAGTTAATCTTCCTCAAATTAAGTTTCAGAAAAGTATATATTTTTTTTAATTTTTTAACAAAGAATTATCAGTTTCCTGTCTTTCGTATGTCTAAACAAATTGTGTGCATTGTTCTGTTGCTCTCTAAGTAGTTCATGCGTTGTTTTCTACTGTCTCGCTTTCCTTCAATCTGCCCTGTGAGCATCAGATTTTCCAAGCCCTCTTTCCTTATTCGTATCGAAGTACGCCTGTCTACTAGGGCGACTAAATAAAATTTCTACACTTACCTAGATAAAGTCCCTCAAATAACGAAATTTATTAACACAGAGGTAGCTGTTTCTCCGAGGCTTTGAAAGCTTTATTGAGATTCTGATAGCTTTATTGGCTACCGGAAATTTAACTAATTTTTTCTACCAGAGACATATCCGTAACATGATTTGAATATAAGGAGATCACCATTTTTATGTAATTTTTGTAACTACTAAGCAATGTTAATCATTTAAGAAAATATACTCTGTAATCTAATGTTTTATTGAATTTTATGTACACTGGTTTTAAATTTACTATACTATTTACTATATATACTATTTACGCTCTTATTTTCTGATAATGTCCTCTGTCGACATCCGTATTTACAAAAATCTTCACGTTTATACAAAACAAATAATATTTAAAATAAGGGGTCACTGAATTGTAGTAAGTTTTTTCCATTTAAAAAATGTAAATATAGATTTTATTTAATATTTAAACTTTAAATCAGTTAATTTTCATCAAATAAAGTTTCAGAAAAGTATATTTTATTTTTTAAAGATTTTTAAACCCATTACCTGCCATGTGCTCCATTTGGGGATCTTTTAAAATTAAACTCACTACATGTTATTTCTTGTATTTATATTGAATTGCTTACATACATTGCATTTGAAGAGGTATATTTTACAACACTTAGCCTTTAAAGTTTTTATTATTAGCCGTAAGAAGACATCTTCTGTCGTAATTTTACATTTCACGAGTAGAAAAATAATGACTATTTTGAAAAGCATTTTTTATTTTTTCTAATCAATATTATTTTTTGATGTTTTATACACATATATATTTGATGTTCTAGTTTCTATAAAATCGACAATGGTAACTACTGATATTAAACATAAGGAATAAATAAACTCCTAAGACACCTGTCTGGGCCAAAAATGCGCATTAAAAAAATTTGGCAGTTAATGGGTTAATAAAATGTTATCAATATCCTGTCTCTCATAGGTCTTAATAAATTGTGTATTTGTTTTCTCTTCTGTGTCTTGTTCCGCCATCCATTTACTCAGACTCTCTAAGTAGGTTATGCATTGTTTTCTACTGGCTCTCTTTCCTTCAATCTGTCCTGTGAGTATCATATTTTCGAATCCCTCTTTCCTCATTCGTATCGAAGTACGCCTACTAGGGCGACTAAATAAAAATTTCTACACTTGCCTCGATAAAGTCCCTCAAGGAACGAAATGCGTTGGCATAAAAGATTTTCCTTTTATCTTTACTTTTATTATGATAAAGAAAGAGAGATAAAGAGGAGATAACAAATGAGAAAGAACGGCACACCCTGTAAAGAAGTTTGTTTTCATTACGTCACTCTTGAACACAAGGTCAGCCGACTCGTCTATTTTGATTAACCATTGGCTTCAGTACGAAAAGTCGCATAATGTAGCCGATACGGCATACTCCGACAATTTAAAATAATATGAAAAATAGATAAATACAATTTTTTTAAAAATGGAAGATTCTTCGTTTGCACGAAATCACAGTAGCGCCCCCTATTGAGCGGACTCCTTCTTTGTGTCTGATGAACTGTAAAGGGAATACGAGAAAGGACGAGCGAAACGCACCAACAGAACTTAATAACACCTAATTAAGAACTCAAAATTCACAGACCTTGCACCAAAAATGAAATCAAGAAAAATATAGCAAATAAAGGCATGAATTTAAAGAAGAATGAGTGGGGGGGGGTAGTTAAAAAGAAGTAAAAAAAAAAGTTTGGGGACATAAACTAACGAAAATGAAAAGAATCCATTGTTAAAATGAACCCGGCAGACATTTTGTTTCCTTTTTTTTCTTTTTTCTTATTTATCAAAAATAATAGAAAAAAAAAAGTCAACTACTTTTCTTATTAAAATTTGAAATGATGAAATTTGTAACAAATTCGATATCTATCTATCTATATATCTATCAAAGTCTGTTCATATGCCTCTTTTTCAGTTCATCCATATCTATCTATCTATCTATTTCACTGTATCTATACCTATCTCTTTATCTAAATCCGTATCTATCTATCTATCTATCTATCTATCTATGTTTTTATTTATCTATATATCCATATAGCTATCTATCTCAGTCTGTTCATGTCCATCTATTTATCTCAGTTTGTTTATGTTTATCTATCTATCTATCTATCTATCTATCTATCTATCTATCTATCTTAGTCTATTTGTTTCTATATTCATTTCTATCTCGGTCTGTTCATGTCTATCTATCTGTTCATCTATATATCTATCTCAGTCTGTTCATTTCAATCTATCTCAGTCTGTTCATGTCTATTTGTCTCAGTCTGTTTATGTATATCTATCTATCTATCTATCTATATATATATATATATATATATATATATATATATATATATATATATATATATAATAGCTGTGTTTCCAAGAAAGTCCTGATTAGATTACTATTCTAAGTTCAGATGTTTTCGAGGCAAGAGGATCATCACCACTTGCCCATGGCGGCCCAACAGTAGACCACAATGCTAACAGTCTCTGTCCCAACATATATGCTATGAGAAAGAGAGATAGAGGTTACCGGTGTAAACAGTTGGGGGTGCACAGCACGTTTCGTTATATATATATATATATATATATATATATATATATATATATATATATATATATATATATGTCAAATAATATAATAATAATATATGTCGAATCATTTATTATCGAATAAAATAATATCAGTTTTACACTTCAATGCCATCATCAAACCAAGTCCTTGCGTATAGATCACATTAAAGCGTGTAACTGACAGCCCGCACCCCAATCCACTATTGATCCCTACATAAAACACACTCTCTCTCTCTCTCTCTCTCTCTCTCTCTCTCTCTATATATATATATATATATATATATATATATATATATATATATAAGAAATAGACAAAGTCCGACAATTTATTTATTAAAGACATTTTATACTTTTTATAAGTTTATACTTGTATCTATAAAAAGAACGTTAAACATAAAATAAAAATATATATATATATATATATATATATATATATATATATATATACCAGTTCCATTTATATATATATATATATATATATATATATATATATATATATATATATATATATATATACATATGTATATGTATCAGTTCCATTTCTATATATATATATATATATAAGTAATTCATCGAGTCTGATATAGCGCCGCTCGCTCACATATTCCGTGGTGGGACTCTGCTGAGTTTCTCTCTAACCCTGGAGCCACGACTACTATCCCCAAGCCGCTCCTTTCAGAGCATTAGAAACCGGTTCAAGCAATGATAGAAATTATTAGGAAGATTTGACAATTATATTTAAGTAATTATATTTTGACAGTTATATATAAGTAATTTATATTTAAGTAATTCATCGAGTCTGAAACCTCAACAGAATGCAGAAAGCACTGGACGGCCATTTCGTCCTATATTTGGGACTCATCAGCAGTGCGCATCCACTACCGAGAATTGAAACCCTGACAAGGAAACAAGCAAACATCATACTAACTGTTTCAACGGGCCTCGGTGACGAAGAGATTGCAAATCAGACTCAATATTGCACGTTTACTGTAAATATGGGTTTAATAAGAGGTTATTCGGGAAATTTTCCATTTTAACGCTTCAATAATCCTTCTCAAATAATCTTTGCATAAAAGGTTGATCAAATGCCAACTTAGGATGGAATCATATGAAGAAACTATTGGCTAAATGGCAAAAGCTAATTTTGGACCTAGTTTGTCGCAGATTTCGTCCATTAATAATCTAAACCAAACATTCACGCAAGACAATTTGTGTCTAATATGTAATTAAGATGGTAAATTTGGAAAGCATTGGATGAAAAATCAGGAGTCATGGCCGAAAAACGGACTTTTGAGCAGCTTTTCGAGGTTTTTCATTACACACGGACTAAAAACATTTGATTTCTTGTATGATGGCAAATTTTTTGCAACATGTTTGTAGAAAATGGGATAAAAATGCGATATTTATTCAAGTTTTTGTTTTAAGTAGTACGAAAAACCCGATTTTTTTCACAGTTTTTGCAATTTTTTCTGACGCCAATGTCGCAGGAACACGCACTCTACATAAACCTCATAACATGAGCTATGTTTTGCATTGAGTGCAAAGAACATCAACTCATCCAGTAAAAACTGTAACTTTGGCTTGGTTTTTGCAAAAAGCCGTACTCAACTTCAGTTTTATCGATTTTTCTGTCAAACGCGGGGGCCGCTGGAGATTGAAAGTTAGTCTTGATCTTATTTAGTAAATTTACAATATTTGTGTTGAATTTCATGAAAATCGATCGAGAAATATGGACGTGCATAAATAGCATACAGACACACAGACATCTTGTTTATATATATATATATATATATATATATATATATATATATATATATATATATATAATTATTTATTTAAAAATATGATTCCAACGCTACATAAGAGTTCTCATGTTTCAAAACAAGAGCCGAAAACTTCAATATATATAGCGTTGGAATCATATTTTTAAATAAATAATTATATTTATGCTCTACTTTTGTATCGAGCACTATTTTTTTTAAAATAATAGCAAAAATACTAAAGAACTTTGGATTATTTACCTAACGAGCTCTTTCCTATTTTCTATATATTTTCATATATATATATATATATATATATATATATATATATATATATATATATATATTCTTTTTTTTTTTTTTTTTCTTTTCTTTGTCTCTTTATCGTTTTGCTCTTTCATTCATTCTTTCTTTTTTTTTCTTTCTTTCACCTTTTTCTTTTACCTTTATCTTCCCTCTTTGTTTTTTCTTTCTTTCTTTTTTTCATTTTCTCTCATGCTTTCTTTCTTTATCTTTCTTTCTTGTTTTCCTTTCTATTTCATTTTTCTTTGACTGTAACTTTCTTTATTTCTTCTTTCCATCCAGAATCATCTTTATTCCAACTACTCCTTTTATAGGTATAAATATATACCTAATATAACCCTAAAAACCCTATCCATCTCGTATTTGTAGAAATATAAGCGGATAATTAGGATCTCTCAGTTGTCAACACCCGTGGAATTTCCACCGCCCATCTTGTTATCGTCGTCTTGCTGTTTATTCTCTTGTTTGATTTCCTTACTGGTTGGTTAGTTTGAGCCAGTGGCTGGAAATACGTTACCTTGGGCAAGTCTCTCCAAGCCTCTTGCCACAAAGCCATTGGCCATCCGCTAATTGGGTGTCAAAATGTTCTTCTGACGGAAAGAACAGGTGGAGAGCAGGGAAACCAACGGAGAATATTCAAGAACCGGACTATTTTCAAATATGAATTACACTCAATTGTGGTAAAGGCAGTAATAATCGATTTCTCGTTTCAAGCCCAGGTAGAAGCTAGGAATTTCAACGCTGATTTTCATGGATAAATCCAATTGGAACATTTCTAAGAATTCAGTCATTCTAGTTTGGTTTCGCTTGATTTGTTTTACGACATATCAACCTCAGTGGGTTATTTAATGCCGACAAGATTTTTATTGCTGGTAATATTATTTCCAAAATGTACTGATAGTACTATTTATCTTCGAAAATGTATTGCTTGTAATATTTTTCCAAAGATGTATTGATGTTTATATTTTTTTCCAAAATGTATTGATGGTAATATTTTTCCAAAATGGTAATATACCACACACACGCTCACACACACACCAAAAAATGTATTGCTGGCAATAATTATTATCTTCAAAAACTCATTACTGGTAATATTTTTTCAAAAAATGTATTGATGGTATTAAAAACTATTTTTACACTTTCATAGTGTTTTGACCCCAGTTTGGGGGTTGGTTATTTGTCCATATCTAGGACTTTAACAGGTGCTACCACCCCTGGTCAGGGAGGACCTGGGAACACCAGCAATTAAGAGGCAGTTCTACGCTCCTCAAAACCTCTAGATCAAATGCCTTGCTGTCGGATGTAGTTTATCGTCTTACCCAGGACGGGCAGTTATCCTATATCATTTGATTTTTGACACTGTTCAGTTCTTTTAAGTTTCGGATACGAAAAAATGAATATGTAGGTTCCTTCGAGAAGATCTGAACGGAGAGGATAGGCATTCTTTAAAAGTGTATTTTAACATTAGTTGTTAGGCTTTCTGTGGCCGAGTGTTCTAAAGCACACCGAATCAGATTTCTCCTATAAAGGAGGAAGTGGTTTCGGACCTTTCAGAGTAGCATATTTTTTATCACGTCTTTCGATTCTGCGGGTAGTGCTTTTGATAACGACCCTGAATTAGAAATTTGGAGAGACGAGTTCGAATGCCCGTTGAGTTCCTTGCATGCACATCCGGGCAAAAAATAATGCCTAAGGAAATATATGACCCTATCACTTTTCCTTCACACTATGGGTTAAATAATATGGCATACTGGGCTTTTAGCTGTGGTTGTTAACCAGTCTACGAGAAGAACAATACTACTTGCTATGGAAATCACAGTAACAATCTCGAGTGTTTTGAAAGTTTGGGCTCTGTCCTCCTCAGTGAGTCTATGGGACTTGAGAGGTGTGACCCCATACTCCTCATGGAGTTTAAGGAACTTGAGTTTGTGCGTGACTATGTGTATTACGCAGGTCACTATACCTAATTCACACTGTTTAAAAAAAAAGGAAAAATCTTAAACCAGGAAAAAAAACGTTTAGAGCAGTCATGGGCATAAAAATAATATAAATTTTAAAATTATATTCAATTTGTTGTTAGGTATTTTTCATTTTCTCCTTTGTTATTGGCAGCATTTTAGAATATTTTGGCTGTAATGTTAAGTTTCCTAAGTTGAACAAACTGGAGCAATTTCGTTTACGCTTTGTTACCTCACTTTTCCATTGTTGTTTTTAGATCGCTT